CTGGAGATAAAAGTACGCTACGCCAAAGGGAATGCAGGAGTTAAGAGTCTGATATATTACTCTACAAAAGCCAAGAAGAACAATATCCTCAATATTATTACCAAAAGAATAACCAAGTTTCTATTAATTCAAATGCAACACCAATAATCAGCAATTTGCTCTGAGAATATAATTTATATTTAAGCTCCAAGCAAGAAAACCCTACATATTCATTGCTCAAAGAATAGAAGAGAAAGCAATAGAAATAAGAATATAAGAATATAAGAATGCCCATAAAAATTATAGTTAACTTAAATGACTTCAGAGACTAAAACATATGCTAATCAGTAGAAGGAACTCACCTTTAAACTTTCTAAGATGTTGTAATGATTTAGCTTTGAGAAAGATTGCTTCAAATAGCAAACTCACGGCATGTATGGACATTTGTGGAGCAGTAACGTCTTTAGGATGTTTCTTATGACGTTCTTCTCTTCCAGCAAGGGTGGCTTTCATCTTGGGTGTTGCTGATGCAATATCTATCCCTTCAAACACATGTAGAGCAGCTTCTACATTTCCTTTCTGAAATTCAATCCTTCCTAATAATGCTCTTGCCTCCTGCGAATTAGATATTTTAGTCATGGCAATGGAGCATAAAGCCTTTCGATAAGTAGTATGACTTTTCTGATTATTTATGCACAAAGCTTGAGTCTTGGGATAAAAAATGTTTGTACACCACAACCAAGTTGTGGAATACAGACCGAACAATCATAATCAAGAGGGAAGAAAGAATAGACTCAAAATTTTTTGTGCGGATCTAATGCAGTAATGTCAAAATATCATTGGTAAGGAGAAGAGAGCAGGTTCATGTTGAAGGCATTATGGGATTTTACATAAATAAACACTCAGACATGATGAAGGTTTATGATCTAAAAGAGCAGAGTGGCTAAGCATTCTAGTATAACATTAAGTTTCTAGAGATGTTAAGTAAATTCAACCTTAAACTCAAACAGCAGCCAAATGATCCATGTGCTAAGTTGCAACATCAAGAGGCTGATTGATCAACAGTTGAAATATAACCCTATGTATTTTGATAAAGACTATCGACTCTACTTGCACATTCGCCAAATAACATAGCAAACCAAACAGGAGATACTGAAGTCAATTAAATCGCTACCATAATTGAGCAGGGACGAAGCCCCCAGAACACAATTACGCAATGGTGACGCTTCTTAGTCGTTTAAGGTAACGGGTCTTGTTCTAGATAATAATATCATAACAGCCAAGACCCGACAGACTAAGGCAAAGAAATACAGTTAAAGTCTGCAGCCCGAAAAAAACTGACCTCATAGTTCAAAGAAGTAGTCTCGCGCAGAGATAACTCGGCTTCCTCTATATTGCCAGCGTCCGGCTTCTTGGTGATCTCCCCAGTACTAGAAGACAACACACTTATTGGATAGTCCTTGGTAGCAAGGGACTGGGATGAAGGAACTGTTGGAAACGTTTCGTCTAGTGTTTGCATTTGCTCCCCGGAGCACAGACACTTCATTTTGATTATCTTCGCAAAAGTATTTACTGTTTCACCTTTTCTACACCTTCTCCTACTTTTAGTACCCGTACAGTTCCACTCCATGCCAAAATCTTCAAGCACCATCACAACAAACAACAACAATAATAAGACCAACAAAATTGAAATCAAAACTATATTCTTGAGATATTGAAGTTGTGATATCTCACAAGAATTCAGATGATCAAAAAGCAACTCTCATGTATTCGAGCCAAATCCCCCCCCCCCCCCCAATCTAAAGCAGGACACAGAAATCCAAATCGCCACCACTACATTATCAAACAAACAAAAGAATGCAAGACAACACATGACAATCAAATTTCACCATGAAGATACGTAAACCTAAAGAAAAAATATACCTTTAGTATGGTTTAACTTAAAAACCCATCAAAACCATAAACCCATCAGCAAAATAACCAATCCTACATCAATAACTGTCCAATGTCAACTCAACTTCAAATCCCAAAACACCAAACAAAAATGAAAATCATACGCAGACCTCCAAGTAATAATAACGATCCAAACAAATCCAAATTGAAAAAAGATAAGAACACGATAATTCATGTAAACGACAGTATCTAACCCAGAAACAGACAGATAAAACGAGACGCAATCAACCCTGGTCAAACTGATAAATGGATCAAAAGAACTGACCTTTTGTTTTTCCAAAGAGAAAAGCAGAGAGAAAGAGCCAACAAGTTATCCATCTGTTCAAATTCCCGATAATCAGAGCTTCTTTTGATTATTCCCTTGAATCCAATCAAGCATCAAAAGTAATCCGCTCCCACCACGACTCTCTCTCTCTCTCTCTCTCTCTCTCTCTCTCTCCTTTTCTCCTTTTTCTTTTCTTTTGTTTTCTCTTCTCTCCTGTACAATTTTCCCTTTCACCTTTCGCCTGTGTTTGCGTATCGCCTCTTTGTTTGTGTACAAATGCGTTCATGAATGTGTATATTAGTATATATACACATAATATATATATGTATTTTACGTAATTTATTAATTAATTAATTAAAAAAAAAAAGAACAGAGAGATTTTGGAATTAAAGAAAATGAATAAAATAATTTTGGAAAATAAACAAATAAAACAATACAAGAGAACTTTGTCCGTGTGGGTCCCACATGAGAAATAACGAATATGTTAGAGGCTACTGACATGCCACGTGGATTTTGTTTCTTGCGGGTTTTTCCCCTGCTGCCGTTTTAACGGTCATTAACGAGAATGATGCTCAAACAGGAGAAAGGAACATGAAGTTTTTTTCAATTAGTATTAATATTAAAAAATAATTTCTTTTTATAAAAATATATTTTATATATATATATATCTGTGTGTGTGTGTGTGTGTGTGTACATGTACGCATATAGAAGGGGAAGGTAATTTGAGGAATATATTTCCATTTCGATTAATCAATTAGCATGAAATTTTCACATCCTCGTAAAAATAATTATGGGGGGAAAAAGCATTGGAAATTTCTAATTATTAATTAATTAAATAAACTTGTTGTAATTTAGACTAATTAAAATTATATAAACCAAGTTTCTTAAGACTATGAAATGGTGGGTACTTAGAATTTGAATTAATTCCCAATTATAATTAAGTGGAGAACAAAATAAATGATTAAATAATATTAATGTGCTTTTGAGGTTTGACCAAATTCATATGATCCATAGTGGATTATTATAATTAGATTTTTATTCGAATAATTGACCTTGTAATTACCCAAAAGCCCAGAAAGGGTATAAATCAAATGAAGGAATTTTTCCCATTTAAACATTATGATATAATTAATTTATTTAGTCAACCCATTTTTTTGTTTTGATATACTTAAACAAATTACATAATAAAATAAGATTTTATTACGTGGGGAATAACATTGATTTATGTTGGATCAAATTTTATTATATCTTAGTTGGGTTGTCATTAGCTTACATATATATATATATATATATAGTTTTTGTTATAATGAATATTTCTTTTTAGTTAAAATATTATTAATCTTCAACTAGTTAGAATCCCATTAAGAATTATATTACTCTAGAAAGTTTAAATTAAAATTTTGGGAACAATTTATTTTAAATTTTAAATACATTTCTTCAATTGATACAAGTCAAAGAGGGTACTAAAATTATGTGGGAACATGTGTGGATTAATTGAGTTAGTAAAATTAATGCACGTTTTACACAATTTGTAATTGAAATTTACTTCACATTAATTATAATTAAAAAATGTTGAAATGAACATTGTACATATATATATATATATGTATGTATGTAAGCACCCTCTTGGAATAAACAACTCATCATAATTGTGCTTTTCTCCAAACCTCATTCAAGGTTTTTGAAGAATAAGAAAATTCCAATTTAATTATAGTGTGAAACATATGTCACTTAGAAATTATTCAAAATTATTACAAAATAGCCGTTCACATCCCTCTAAAATAATAACTATATTTTACTTTATGAGAAAATAATTTTTCGAACATATAAATATATTTTTTTTTTCTGTCCGATCATATACACGAATACTCGTAAACATAAAATGGGTCTCTACTAAAATATTATTAAGTAACAAATATTTTGTGACGATTAGTTCTCTTAATATATTTACGATGGTAGTACAATTGAAATATCTGAATAAAAAAATATTTTTTAACTATCAATTCTTTTAAATGGTACAAGCATAATAGCATGAGAAAAAAAAAAAAAGAATTCTAACTATTTAAACAATCAAAATCATTCTATCTTTCTAAATTTTTTAGATGAAATCGCAAGTTTTTAAATTATTTGGAAGCAAAAAAAGAAGGATTAAGACATTAAAAGAGGTCATAATCGAGGTTTAATTAGTGTGATTGAGCATGCATTTGGGTTTGGCATGCAATAATATGAGCAAACAATTTTAATTAATTGTTAGACATTCAATGCCAATATCTACTCCATCTAAAATCTCAACATTAATTAGTTAATTAATTAATAATGAACATGCAATTCTCATGTCAACATACATATAAGTCAAATCTATGCCCCACATATATATATATATATGAATTTAATTGACACATAAATTTTTGGAGGACAACTTTACCAACCAATGAAGCATTAAACGTGATTAAAAAAAAAATAATTAGGTCATAAAGAATTTTGTAGACTACTAATTTTTTTTAAAAAAAAATATGGTAAGAGTTGAATTATTGTAATTTGATTAAGAAAAACTATATGGTAAGTTATAAATTACATTATCTTAATAATTAATTAATTAACCCTGCTAATGCAATTCATTTAGTCAAGGCAACGTACAAGAAAAAATAACTTATGTAATTGATACAAATAAATGTAAAAAAGGTTATAAGTAGAAATGTTGAATAAGATGTTTTTTCAAAGAAAAGAATATTGAATGAGACGGACTATTCACTGAGAACTAGTCAACAGTGAATTTCATTAAATTTATGTTTGAAGATACCATACATAATTGATGAATAAAAATAAAAATATTAGTTTAGTAGCAAAATTAACTAATAAATTAATATAAAGTTAATACATCCGTAAAAATACGCATGACACGTAAACAAATAAATATAAAAATAATATATCTATAAAAGTATCTCTATCACGTGAGATTAGATTACATTCGCACATCAACTTATAACAAACATAGAATATATGTGGTAGCATGATGTGGTAACCATATTGTATTTGGTAATACGGAATGGTTATAAAACTATCAGCAAGATGAATCTACTCTAGTACCAGCAATTACGAGAACTATTTTATTAGCTCTCATAATCAGTTGTTGGATACTCGTACTTTTTCTCTTACAGTTTTTTACTATTTTCATTGACTTTCACGTTAAAGTATTCCATTTAAATCCAGATGTTGTCTATAATTAAAGTTTTGTCATCGTAACGCTATAAATATTAGAGAGTACAAAATTAGTCACATGTTAGTAATGAAAATTCATAGTGAATCACTACTTAGATAAAAAATATGAGTTATTAGAATTCGTCTATTTTGTATTATTCTTAAACTTTTTTTTTTTTTTCATTTTAGAGTAACTTTTCCCTTCGCCTTTTCTTCCTCGTAGCTCATGAGTTAGTAGAGCAAACTTAGTAAAGAAAAATTCTTCAATTGTTTCTCCAATATGTTATTATAACATCACCATTACAAAATCACTATTTTATTTTCTTCTTTTGCAAAAACTATATATATATATATCTAAAATAAAATTTACGTAATGTGTACTTACACAAGCCTTAAATTATTTCTTAATTCTAAAATAATAAATTTATACTATTAGATAAGAGTTTACATTTTATTTATAAGCACTCAATAACGAATTTGTATCGCATCAAAAGAAGACGTAGTAGTAAAAAAAAAACAAAATTTATTGCTAGATGTCAATTAAATTGCTATACCCTTTTATGGATATATTATTATGTATAATGGGCACCGCATATGGTCTAGAAGTTTAATAAACCAAAACCATATTTAAATATATAGTTATAATTTTTATATTAATTTTCGACCAACTCGTTTTAAATTATTACGTGCCAATTAATAAATTAATATATAATTTTCAATTTTGAATTGAAACTTTTTTCTTTTATTATTTAATAATTAATTTTTAGTACTCGATTAATCTTTAATCATTTAGTCAAAAATTAAAAATAAATACCGTGTGGTTTA